TTTTGAAGAGCATGTCTTACTCCAAAGAAGGAATGCAGCCTCCAGTTTCATACAAGGTAGGGTGGCATTGCCTCCTTGTCATGTGATCCACTCAACTGAGGCAGGGAGCCTGATGTGCAGTCAGCCTGCAGAAAGAGCCCACATAACACCAGCAAATGGAACCCAGATTTTTTTTTAAAGATTTTATTTGTTTGAGAGAGACAGAGACAGAGATAGTGACAGAGATAGCAAGAGCACAGAGCAGGGAGGAGAGGGAGAAGCAAGCTCCCCACTGAGCAGGGGGCCCGATTGATGGGGGTGGGGAGCTCGATCCCAGGACCCCAGGATCATGACCTGAGCTGAAGACAGATGCTTTACCAACTGAGCCACCCATGTGCCCCTGGAGCCCAGATTTTAAGAGAAAATCAGATTATATGTTTTGGGAGCTCCTCACACAGTTTTTTAGTATCAATTTAAAAAAACATAAAAACAAATAGTTCTAAAACCCTCATCTATACTTCTCTGTGGTTTCATAAAGAATTATTCCTACCTAAGATTACCACTTTCTGAAGAAACTGAACAGTTAATTTTTTCTGGTGGCTTTATCTAGTGTAGTAGCCTGAGAATTCATTCACTCATTTACTTGGCACCTACTATGTGCCAGGTACTGTTCTAGGCAATTAGGATACTTCAGTGAAACACAAGAGACAAAGATGCTTGCCGTTGAGGAGGTTATATTCTAGGAGAGGAAGACAGATCAGAAGCTCTAATCAGAACTTATACAGAATAGTAAAATATGGTAAGTGCCACGGAGAAGGAAAGAAGAGAGGAGAATGAGGAGTGCCAATCGAGACAGGGAGGGAGTTATGATTAAATTTCACACAGAGAGGGGCGCCTGGGTGGCTCAGTCGTTAAGCGTCTGCCTTCGGCTCAGGTCATGATTCCAGGGTCCTGGATTGAGCCCCACATTGGGCTCCCTGCTCGGTGGGAAGCCTGCTTCTCCCTCTCCCTCTGCCTGCTTGTGTTCCCTCTCTTTCTCTCTCTCTGTCAAATAAATAATCTTGAAAAAAAAAATTTCACACAGAGAGATCAAGGGTGACTGTCGAGAAAGTGATGCTTGAGCACAGACAGAGCTCATTTAATGTTGGACCATGCAGTATGCTGGCGAAACCTAAGAACAGAAGAGTCTGGGAGCAGCCAGAAGATTCCATCAACAGGATTTGCTATGAATCCATCAACAGGGTTGGGCATAAAATTTCGGAAGAGCGACCAGAAAGCTCTCCAAGATTTGAGACTTTGCAAGCAAACCTCAGTGTGATGAAAGAAGGAAGCTACACAGGAGGTCCTTCACAGTCAGGCCTTCAAACGGCCTTAACCAAAGCTGCAAAACATAGCGAGTGACCAAGTGAACAGTCATCCCTGTCTCCTTTTGGACGATGGATGAAAACAACGCTTGGTGTTAGAAAAATCAGAAAAAATGTTGCTGCTCACCAAGAAAACCTTTTCTGCAAAGGGACTGCACATGAACAGCCCCATGTCTGGAAGCTCCCTGAGCAATAATAATCTGAGGCAATCACAGGCTGCACCTCATCTGTCTCCCTTTCCTCAGGGACCATTCCTCTGCCCTGCCTCACGTCCAGTGTCTTAAAAACCAACTTGGTTTTTTCATATATTTTGTCCTCTAGTTATCTCGAGGGGGAGGGTAAATTCAGTCCCTGTTACTTCACTCGTGCGGTAGCAGAAGGGCAGAGCAATGATTCTTGACGTTGGAGACTTGGAGCTGTAGGCCCTCTGCCTGTCAACCACAGAGGAGACACTCCCCAGTCAGGGGAGCTCTCGAGCCCCCTAACACATGGTTGTTCTCAATGTGTGTGATAGACTGATGGTGGTCCCGTTCCTCCCTGCCCCTGAAGTCACACATCCACGTCCTTGTCGTGGCCTCGTGGCGGGCGGAGTGTATTTCCCCACGCTGGAAAGATGGAACTGTCCTGGGACTTGCAGCCTGACAAAGGCTGAGGTTTGCGATGCACTTGCTGGCCGGCCTTGGACTTGGAGGCACCGTCTCCCCTTGGTGAAGTGAAGCTTCTCCACTCAGCCCCCAATGGGCGGTTCCTACAGAAGGCTGTCATGGCTGCTTAAGCTGGAAGCACAGGGGAATCGTCATTCAAAGCAAGTTTGCGTTGAGATATTGAGTGTGGCTTGGTCTCAACAGCACTGCATTAAGTAAAAGAATTCAGAAGAATTTGGTACTGGTCTGCGAGCTCTGGTCACAGCAGTGCTTGAAATTCTAGTAGGATTCAACTTATCTCACTAACAAGATGAAGGAGCTGAAGCAACACTGAGGAGACAGACCCTCACTGGGAGGACAAGCAGCCGTGGCATCAAGACCCGGTTAAAAGGGTGAAAAGACAAACTACAGACTGTTAGAAAATATTTGCAAACCACGTGTCTTACAAAGGACTTGTATCTAGAATATATAAAAAGCTGTGGAAACACACAGTAAAGAAGGGAACAATTCAGTTAGAAAAGACGTGAACAGACATTTCACCAAAATGGATATGTGGATGGCGGACACACATGGAAAGAAGTTCAACATTTTAATCTATAAGGGAAATGCCAATTCAAACCATGATGAGATAGGGTTGAAATAAAAGCTAGTGATAACACCAAATGCTGGCAATGGTGTGGAGAAACTGGGTCACTCAGACGTTGCCCGTGGAGAGGCAAAATGATAGGACCGCTTCAGAAGAAAATAGCAAATGCTCACAAAGCGAAACGGTATATACCCTTTGCCACGTGGCCATGGAGTACTACAAAGCAATAAAAAGGAATGAACTCTTGATTTATGCAACCAACTGAACAGTTCTTAAGGGAATTACGCTAAGTGAAAAAAGCCAATTGCATAAGATTATACACTATCTGCTTCCATTTATATAATAAATTTGAAATAACAAAATTACAGAGATGGAGACAAAATTACTTGTTACAAGGGGTTGGGGGGTGGAGGGATACTCTAAAAGACTAGCATGAGGGATCCTTGTAATGGAACTGCTCTAAATCTTGACTGTTGTGTCTCTTGATGGTGGTCACATGGGTGTACACATGTGAAAAACCTGCATAGAACTAAAGACACACATAAGCGTGTGTGTAAAACTAGTGATATCTGAATAAAGTCATTGGATTGTACCAATGTCAATTTTCCATTGTGATATTGTGCTTTAATTATGTGAGTTTGTACTACTGGGGGAAAATTGGTGAAATTTACATAGGATCTCTGTTTTACTTCTTACAACTGCATATAATCCTACAATTATCTCAAAATATAAAAGTGAAAAATTTTTAATCTTAATATGATCATAGCTAAACAGAAATAAGAAGACAGTAAAAATAAACTACATGAGTTACTTTTATTATGGATGAGGAATTAGTCGGCTTTTAAGTTTGTGTCTTTGATACGTGGATGTATTGCTTTCATCATTAATTGATTTGATTAAACACAGGATGAGTTTCAAAGTGGAGATAATATTGATATAAAAGGAGGTGAGTCCAGTATTCAGGCTGGGATACTAACTGCCCTCCCCTTGAGGCTCATCATCTTTTCCTCGAGGCCTTTTATAGACCAAAGAGCAGTTCCTGGTGGAATGATGTGATGTCATCGGTGACTCATGTCAAGGGCTCCAGAATCTTGGGAGCCATTTGATTCCAAAGACCTGGCTACTAGGGTCAGTGTTCTTCTCACACTGTTCTGAGGCTGTGCTCTGGGTAAATGTGAGGGGCCTAGATCCCGAGAGAGCCAGGAAGTCCACTCTGGGTAAGTGTCACTCGTTCCTGTCCTAGACCGAGTATGTCAGGCCACCCAGCTTGGCCTTCATAGAAGGGTGACTGAGGCACAACTCTTGTTGCGCCTGGCCATTCTCTCCTTGAGCACTGGTCAGACACGAGTCCTAATCCCAAATCCAAAGTGTTCTAGCCTTGGTCAAGGAACAAATCCTACGCCAAGTTAAGGCACCATTTCCTTACCTGTAAATCATGTAAGTCATACATCTTAGTTCACAGATCATTATAAGGATTGAATGAGGTCATTCTTTATGCATTGATCAATACTGGAAGTTCAATAGGCAACCAATAACTGTTAGCTATTATTGCCATTTTAATTATTATTAGGTTTCACAAGGAGCAGGTTAAGCAAATAGAAATGGCCTGGTCAGAATCAGGTTGAGTCCCTTCCATTTTTTTCGTACACAGAGAAGACAAGACAGGATCCCCCTGGGCTCCACATTAGCTGCCTCAGAGACTGTTCCAAGCCAACAGGACCCAGCAAAGAAGAGTCAGAAGAAAAGGGTGTGCATGGAAGGGAAGGCAGGTGTGTGTGATCGTCTGGCTTCTACCCACGGTCTCTGAATGATTGAAGCTGACAGAACACCATGGCTCCAACATTACTTCTCCTTCCTCCTCTCAGCTCTCATGTGTTTGGGTCTGCATGGGCAGGGGAAAGGGCTTTCAGGGTGAGACAGGGAGGTCACTATCCTGTGCACTTCTATGGCTATTAAAGACATCTATGACTAGAGAATTTTACATCTGTCTCTATAGAGGTATCCTCCAGGCAGAACAATCCATGGAAAAAGGCAAAGGAGAGCAGCTTTTGCCTGGCAAAGAAAGGGAAATAATAATTCCTACCCTCCTTTATAGACAAGTGCAAAGGGGTGACGGTCATTCTCTTATCCCTCCAGATGTCACATGCAAAATTCTCAATGTAAGTGGGAAAGGAAGAGCCTAGCATTTCCCAGGTGGGTCCTCCCGCCGTGATGACACAGGGTCCTTCCTCTCTCCCTACAGCTCCATGGAATAGGAGCCCTCTGGCCTCCAGTTCTGCCTCTTCAGAGGCTGTCCCTGAGCAGAGAGCCAGGAGAATGAGAGGCCGGAAGAGGAGGAGATCGACGGATGTCAAGGCAGGTATGTGTCCTCGCGTGTGCCTCAGCTTCCCCGCATGAAGTGTCAACTACTGTTGAGTGACCACTTACCATCTTGTCTTCACAAGGCTGAGTCCAGGCCCAGTGTTCAGAGTGAGCTGCATGGCAAGGACTCCACTTCTCAGGTGGGTCACATCCACGCTGACTCAGAATCTTTTGTTTCTGCAGGTGCCCAGGAGAGCAGCGTCCCAGCCTCCAACTCTACCACCTCAGAAGCTATCTCTGAGCTGAGGTCCTGGAAGAAGAGGGGACAGAAGAGGAACATATGGACAGTCAATCATGTTGAGGGAACAAAACTCAGGATGAACAAGAGGAGAAGACCCAGTTACCGTCCTGAAGACCAAGAAGCATTCTACCGACTTCTGGGTGTGTGCTCTGAGCAGATGGAGCGTTCAGGGTCCTGCTGAGTAGGGATCATGTTGGAGGCAGTGGCTCTGGGATCATGCTCAAACCACCCCCGGGCTCTAAGCTATAAAGGGTCCAGGGGGCACGGACACAGAGCGACCCTGCTTCTGCTGGGGGTGCTGGCAAGTTTTTCCTGAGACAAGTTCTTAGAGGGAGAGGGAGGAGGCTACAGTGGAGAGTGCTCAACAGTCAAGACATTTCAGAACCAACCAAGGGGTGCATCCTCTGCCCACTGGGATACATTCATGTATTCCCTCCAATTAAGATTTTAGAGATTAGTGATGAAAAGACAACCTAGATCTTGCTGTCTGTACGTTCAAGGTGGGAGGAGACAAAAAACAAACCCATATAGAAATAAGCTGTTCTCAGCCAGTGACAAATGCAGAGAAGTAATGTTATTCAAAGGCAATGATGCCTGGAGATGGAACACGAAGCAGGAGAGGGGAGCTCTATGAGATGGGATACTCCAGGGACTCTGTCTGAGAAGGGGCCATCAGGACCAGAGGCAGGATTAAGTGTGATAGTTCTGGAGACAACACTGTGATCACGTTGTCCAATACAGCATTCATTAGCCACATGTAGCTATTAAAACCTGATTTAACTCATTTAAAATTAAATTTAAAAATTCAGTTTCTCAGTCTCATGAGCCACATTTCAAGTGCACAGTAGCCACACATGGCTAATGGCTCCCATAGTGAACAGTGCACATCTAGAACACTTTCATCATCACAGAGTTCTATTGCAGAGAGCCAGACTGACTGGAGAAGGGTCAAGGAGAACGAAATAACCCTTGACTCCTCCATCCTCCCTGTTGTGCAAGTGTCATTGTCCCAGTCAAGGAGGGAAAGACAGCACCCACATTCTCAGGTCTCCCCTGGAAAATGGTACCTCCAGGGGACAACTCTAATCCCAGAGTTGGGATTGGGGGTGGGGGGCACAGGTCATTATCTGCAGGAAGCGAGGGGATCCAGGAGAAAGAGGGCAGTACTCCCAGCACCCCCAGGGGCTGCGAACTGACCACCACAGGCTCAGGGCGCTCAGTTAACGGGAGGCGGCAGGAAGCTTTGTCCGGCCCCAGCATGATAAAGTGACAAGGACAAATGTGGTGTCATAGAGACCCATGGCCACATCCAAGCTCTGGCTTGAGACAAATGTGTTAAGCATTGAGAGCCAGGTCGCATCTCTGTGATCAACAAATCCCTGCCCATCACGTGGAAGTTTACAATAGCGAAATCCAAGCCCTACAGATGAAACTCACGACATAGGCCTCCCTGGAAGGAGTGGCCATTGTCACAAATATTAAGACTCACAAACCTCCTGGCAGAAGGGACACTGCCTCCACTTCCAGGAAACAATGGAACTTGAGGGAGGCTCTGGTTTTCCTCCTTCCCCCTGGAGTGTCCCACAGCCCCCAGAAGGCCTGCTCCAAGGCCCTCCTCACTTCTCCCTTCCTTTGCAGAGGATCCCGTGATCCAGAGCTTCTTGGAAGCTGACATTTTCCTCAAAGTATCTGATAAGGTATCTGCAGCACCAAAATGATGAGGGCCTGAGGGGTCCACAGAGTCACCACCCCATGGGGCAGGAACAGAGAACCAGATTTCTGGCCAGGCGGGAGAAGCCCTGGAGAGACCTGCTCTCAGTGTCAGAAGACACACCGCCCATGGCCTGCCCTGCCCATGGGCATCTTCTCCTGGCCTCCTATCCATTCCTCTCCACTTGTCAAAGGGCCTCAGCACAGCCAACCTGAGGGGTTCCCACCATGGCCGCTGGATGGGGCAGGACCCGTGGCCCGTGCGGGACACTCTCACTCCCTCTACTGACCCCTCACCTGCCTTCCGTGCCCACACAGTACCTGCTTTCCATGGTGGTGGAGTACTTCGGCCGTGTCGGGCTGCCTGGACACCTGTATAACAGGATCCACTTCTTCCTGGCCCTGTGAGTGTCTCTTTGGGGAATGCTCTCAATTCTGCCCAAACCGCCCCATCCCACAGCCTCACCACCCCATCAGGATGGCTTGGCCATGCCTATGAGCTGGACGGTCTCAAGTGGTTCCTCTTGGCCACAGAGCAGACAAGGCCTTCAGGGGTCACACGGTCATGGGGGAGGGGAAGGCAATGAGTAAGTTCCTAAGATCATGAAAGTAGCCAAGAAACATCACTTGCTGCTCAGAGACTGAGTGACTGGAGGGAGGAAGCTCCAGGGAAATGGCGAGCAGCCAGAACCTTGGCCTGGGCCAAGCACAGCGTGGGCCCCACAGGCTTGGTCCTGAGGATGGTCCTGCTATCCCTCTGGAGTCAGGCTCCCTGCAGATAGGGCTTCCCCGACCCTCCTTCCTGGATAGACTGGCCTGGGCACTAGGTCCTCCAGTGTGACCTCTGCAAGCTTCCCCTCTTTTCCCACGGCAGCTACATCGCCTCCGACATGGAGGAGGACAACCCCACGTCCAAACGGAGCATCTTCCAGTTCCTGCTGGGCAGGGAGCACTGGCCAGACCTCTACAAGGAGTTCCTGAAGTTGAAGGTGGAGTTCTTCCATGCAATGGGGCACCGAGCCTGGGTCACCCCGGAGTTGTGTGAGGAGGTCTGTTGGGGACAAGGACCAGAGGGAGCACCCGAGTGGTAGGGCTGGGCCCTTCCTCCAGGTGCTTACGTTGCTGTTTCCCTTTCAGATCCAGGCCCAGAACCCACATCACTGGGTCTGGAGTCGGGCGCGCCAGTGTGCCCCCTAGGTCCCCAGGTAACAGAGCGGGGGATGCAGGTGGTCCAGGTGAGTGCAGGTGCTCTCGGGCTCTGCAGGGTCGGACATCCCCACCCTCTGTGCCCCTGTAGTCACCTCCTTGGCTGGTGGGCATGAAGGGGAAGCAGTACAGCATCCCTCCATGCATACTAGCATAGTAAGGGCTCTGAGAACTCCCGTGATAAAGAAAGTAATTACCTGTGTTTATATCAAAACTCTCCAAATGAATTTGACTGTGGAATCATGAATGTAATACCAGATCCTCAATTTGCATATCAAATTTTTTTTTTACGAAAACTTCTGGAAATGCTGATTTAAGTAATGAAAACCTCTGTAGGGTTTTGATCTGAGTTGAAAATTTTAAGCAAATAAATGAAAGACACCGAAGTCACCTTTTCTGGAAAGGGGGCTGTTAGCCTGGTGGCTCTTGGGAGGAGAGATTAATTCCAACATGTCATCAAAAGTGGTATGTGATTTGCTCCCACACGAAGCAAGCTTAGTAGCTGGGTCCCTGAAGGATATGTCAGTCTCGTCTTGTCACAGACAGAAGGAGCTCCTAGGGCTCCTGGTCTCTGCAAAAATCAGATTGCTGGGGAAAAAAGGGCAACAAACACCTGGAGAACTGTGAAAAATCACGTAACAGATGACACACTTATAGAAAACGAACGCTTGACCAGCATCACACTCTTTCGAATGTTTTCTTTCGTTTAAATTTGGTTGCTATATTTGGGTTTACTTGAAGTTGGGGGAGATCTTTGGTGAAACGCAGAAGAAACCCTTTGCCTGGGGAGACAGCTATACCAGAATAATCTTGTGAACTGAGCCACCCCCGCCTCTCTGCAGGGTGTGACGGAGCCTATTCTGACCCTAGGAAAAAGAAGGTCAAGTGTGCTCTGTGATAAACCAAGTTTGGGATAAAGTTTAATTCATCCACAGGCTTATTTGAGGACCACCAACTACTATATATGCCAGAATCTCAAATTCCAAAGAAAACTGCATTATCGCCACAATAAAAACAGAGATGAATAGTGGCTACAGGGGCCGCTCTTGGATCTGGCCACTTATACAAGCAATGAGGGTGGCAGCTGATTTTGCCTGGGCTTTCCAACACGTACCTGTGGTGAGGCACTGAGAACTACCTCACTTGGGAGTTTGCCTTCTGTTCTGATTTTGCTTTCTTTTCTTGTAGCCCCCGCCCATCCCCTGCCTCTCCCTGCCCCGACACCAAGTTGCTGCCTCCTTCGCAGGCTCCAGGAGCCACAGAGGGACAGCACTGGGCCTCCAGTTTTTCTCAGACCTGCAGGAAGGAGGGTGCAGGGACAGCCAGGACCATGGCAGCCTGAATAGCACAATGGCTCCCCAACCTTCCAGTGGGTGTCAGCCAGCAAAGGTCCTAACCCCTGAGTAACCTGGAAGGGTGTAGTAGTAACATGGAGGGGGGACCAAAGGAGCCGAAAGATCAGAGCAGGAGCCTCTGTGAAGGCAGAGGGAGAGGGGACGGAAAGTCTGGGAAGAGGCCTGGATCACTGAGGAGGAGGAACTTGAAGGAAGAGGCCAAAGAAACAGCTAGAAGATGATGAGGAAAAGAGGAGGAGACAGGAAGGGGAGAAACACATGAGAGAGGACACAGGATGTGGCCAGCCCATTCTAGGCAATCAGCATCTTGGGGACAGTTGTCCTTGGAGTCTTTCCTGACACTCCGCTAGAACTGAATGAAGAGACTGGCGGGAGGCACAGAGCTCACTGATGTGTGGATCTAAGGCTGAAACAAGAGTGGGAACAAGAGAGGGGAATCCTATGCCAGGATAGGCTCTGACATCATAGAAATAACCCAACTTTCAAAATGAGAGGAGAAGGGAGAGAAGAAGGGAGGAGGTCATGAATGGATGGCTAGGGGACAGGTGGGGAGGTCCCAGAGTGCCATCTAGGCCAGAAACAAGGCAGTGGAAGCTGAGGTTAAATTAAAAAAAAGAGGGACTAGAAGAGTCCTATGAGGATATTAAGTGCTAATTGTATGCAGAAGAACACAAGCCATCCTGAATGCCAAATAAATGAATATGATAAATTTTAAGAGAGCAAAGAAAACATCAAATACATGGCAAATATAAGAAATAGAGTAGAATACAATATAGAAACAGAATTATCGCCACAATAAAAACAGAGATTCATATAAAAAATGAGATTCAACTGAGATCAGTCATATTATTTGCATTAATAAATCTGAACTCACTACTAAAAGATTTTCAGATTGATTCGCAAAGCAAAACCCAGCTCTGTGTGAGATTATCCTTAAATCATTGAGGTGCTAACAGTAAGGTGAGGGCTCGGGGTACACCATGCAAATGCCCTCAAATGAGAGTAGGGATTGTGATCTTGATACCAAGGTAAGGAACATTCAGATGCAAAACCCTTCAGAGACTAGGAAGGACACTTGGGATGGGGTTGAGGGACAGGTTCTGGGGGTAGGTGCCCAGTGTTACAGGCAATTCCACAGGCCTGGGCTGGTCCACTGCAGCTCGATTTGCTCAGTGACGCTCATAGATTTTACAGCACTCTCGACGGATGGATGGATGGATGGATATACAGATATATTGATATATAGATATGTATAGCTATTCTAGATAGGAAATCTAATTACTGGACAATAACTGCAGTTACCAGACAGAAACTGTCTAGGTCTTCACCACTTTTTTCCCATGGAAATGCCTGATTTGCCACAAAACTGCTTGGAACTCCAAGGTTCCCAGGAACCTCACAGTCCAGCATGGACAGAATATCCAGTCCTGTAAAAGGTTGACTCCTTTCAAGAAGCAATACACCCTGTCTATCCCATGAGGGCTTAACATTTTCTTCTTGAGTCCTCTGGAACTTTCCAGTTGCAAATAATCACAGTACTCACTGTCTGTGACACCTAGTCCTTGCAGCCCCAGAAGGCCAAGGTAGAAACAGTTAGGCTACGATGTTGTTTCTCTCCTCACTCAGGCATCTAGTGACTCAGTCCCAAGAAGTATGGCATAATACACGGTCAACCCACATCGTTCCAGTTACTTAGCAATAAAGACCGTGCATTCTTCCTTTAGTCAGTGAGTCCTCTCAGTGTGTTAGGGAGAAACCCAAGGCCACTCGGGGGGGGTCACTGCCACTATGGCCTGAGGTTGGTACCATCCAGACGAGTTGGCGCATGGATTATAGGACTGTCACAAAATCTTGGAGTGTCAGAGCACACCTGAGGGTTTGATCATGGAAAAGGAAAGTGAACAGCACTGGGAGCTCAAGAGATAGCCAAGGGCTGGAAATTCTATGAGCAAAATCAGGGGAGACCAAGTGGTGGTGAGTGGTTTTTACAGGACTTGGGGATGGGGCTGAGTTCACACTTGTGTCGTGTCCCACTTAACAGCACAGGATTTGCTCAGGAACCCAAGTAGAAAGGGTGTTGATGAAGCAAAGTAGACGGAAATGTTTAGGGAGCAGAGGACTGAGAAGCCCCTGCAACACTACAGAATCCAGGGCTGGATCTGTCAGAGCTGGTGGTAGCTTCCCGCAGCCAGGTATGCACCATCTGCCCTCCTGCCAGACCGTGACCAGTGAAGGAGAGCAATGGCCTGGCTGCCTCTTCCACCTCCAGGTCTCCCCTGGGCACCTCTCACTGGCTCCTCCCAGTGGCACACTCTTACCTGGCCCCACATGGGAAAAAGCTAAGCAAAGAGAGGAGGAGGTGCTGAAGATACTGAGTTGACATCTGGCCCAGGCAGAGGGCACAGTGAGATGAGCCGAACGAAAATTAACTAGAGAAGCAGAGAGGGAGTTTGGAGCAAGATGACACAAGACAGCACCCGCACCACCCTCTGGGGTTTTGCAGAAATTTCATCAAGTGGGGGGCGCCTGGGTGGCTCAGTCGGTTAAGCGACTGCCTTCGGCTCGGGTCATGATCCTGGAGTCCCGGGATCGAGTCCCGCATCGGGCTCCCTGCTCAGCGAGGAGCCTGCTTCTCCCTCTGACCCTCCCCCCTCTCATGTGCTCTCTCTCTCTCATTCTCTCTCTCTCTCTCTCAAATAAATAAATAAAATCTTTAAAAAAAAAAGAAATTTCATCAAGTGGGGGTTGGTGCTCATCTCATCTAGATCTTACCAGGCAGAGAGACTGCAGCTAGGGATGCTAATTACAACGGATTTGCTAATGATTCTTCGATTGTTGAAGAGCCGTGTACATTTACCCACATTTCCAGTTGATGAGACTATCTTCTTAATCTCTGGAATGGTACAGAGTAAGCAAACAAAAGCCTTGATTAAATGAAAAATAGGCACAAATATGAACTCAAGACAAATGAAAGAACACGAGTGGCATTAACTAGCTTCCAAACACTGTCCCTGTGATAAATCCCCCCAGTGACATGATTACCCAGATCATGATTTAGTACATCTGGGTTCTGGAAGCCCATGGACTACAGCTCCCCAAGGCAGCATACCTGAATGTAAGACCAGAGTTGGATCCATTAACTAGAGACAAGGCAACAGATTTCACACCTAAGTACTGGAGTAAAAGCAGTGGAAATTATGAACATGCAGTTATTTATAGATTTTCACTGATTTTATTGAATCTAGTACAATTTTTTTTCTAAATTTCCTATTTCATTTTATAATGTACCACAGAATAGGAAGAAATATTTTCAGCTAAAAGAGACATTTTAAGTTAAGATGGTTGTTATAGGACCAAGAAAGCAGCACACAGACTAACTCAATCTAATTCCAAGAAATTACACAAGGGTCTTTGTTTTTCTAAAGATGCACAGAGAAGGGAAGGGTCCACAAACCGGAGCAACGCCCTTCTAATTTATGCTGATCTGCCTCTTAGATCTAATGCACTAAGAGAGGCAATAATGAGCCAGATTCGGGGGTTAGAAGCAGTATGGTCTGAAAGCCCAGGCTTGTTATAGGGGTTGTGATGAGAGCAGAGCAGCCTTGGGCCAGCCACCTCCCTTCCTGAGCCTCACGGGGCTCAGCTGTAGAAAGAGGGGCAGAGAGATCGTCCAGTGCTGATCTTTTATGCAGCAGCTTGAAGACAGAAGGTCCTGCAATCTGGGTAACCCTTCCTCCCCATCCTGGCCTCCCTTTCATTCAAGGACAGAACATGGAGCAAAGCAAGAGGATGGCAAACAGGCAAGTCCATCCTTATCCACAGGCAAAAATTAAGGATATGGTTTTAGGGGCTTTTCTTTCAATATAGCAATAAAGACTTTCCCACACTTGTGACTAATGAGAAGCAAGTAATGTATTTCAGAGTGGGGGAAACCTGGCTGGCCCTGGGAAGCAGGAAAAGCCAGTCACCTGGGAACTTTTGTAAACCACATGGGTATCTGCAGGGTGGCTGCTAAGTGCTAACAGAGGCCTCCAGCCTGGGTACACCCTCTTAGGAGCTGCCCCCCCAACCTCCCCTCTGCTTCCTTCCACTGCTGGTTAAACACTGCAGACACTGGGGGTACAGAGGTGACCAAATCCTATTCCCTTCCCCTATTCCCTTCCCCATAGCTGAATTGGAGAGATCTTCATACAACTAGGCATTTTCTACAAAACGTGGTATGAGGATGGAGGAACCCAGAAGACAAGCCCCCAACCCTATATACAAGAGGCGTATTAGTCTGTGTGCTGCCAACTAAGTCTTCCTGGTTTGGATCTCAAAATGGTCCATGGCCTTCCAGCGTCACTCAGCTCCCAGCATCCTCTCCTGACTTTGGTCTACTCCTGTCCTCAGATTGGGCTTTGACATGGTTTTCTTCAGAAGCCACGTCACACACACAGCTGACACACAAATCTATTCCTCTGGCAATTCCTGCCTTGGCTCCACATGCTCTGGCTTCTACTCAGAATCCTGGCTTCCAAACTCTGGCCTGTGCCCAACAGGCACACTGGCCTCCCACCAAAGTGGGTCTCTACACTGCTCATCAAGCTGAGCGATGAGAGGTCCCCTCCTCCTTGCTTCCTCTGGGCTGTCAGAAGATCTCTGAGCTGGGATCACCATAAGCTATGAAGTCGGCTGGTTTCTAGACAAAGGGTAAAAAAAGTGGCCTTACTCAAGTTCAGGCAGCACTGAGAGAAGCTCTGTAGGGCTTAACCCAATGGTCACTCCCGCTAGGGTCTGGCGTCCATGCCTCAGAGCTGCCCACAATTTCAGGCCTTCACCTCTTCACAGGACATCTTACTCAAGGGAGGGGCACAGATATCAGCCCCCCTCCCCTCAGGGAGACATTAATCTCTCTGAGTATGCATGTGTGTAACTACTATTTAATTATGTCCATCCATGGAAGCATTTATAGCCATGTAAGTAGAAAAGATGAACGTGGGGAATTATGAGTAAGTTAGGAACCATACTGTGACAGACATAAAGTAACTAGTACTCACCAGCGTCCGGTTCTCCTCCCCTTCATGGACACATGGAAGAGTAGTCACACGAGGTGGATCAGTTTGACTTCCTGCCAACAGGCTATAACTGAAAGTGACAGCCAATTTTGGGCCAAAACCCTTAGGAGCCGGACACACTTCTCCAGATCTTCCCTTGTCTTAACTTTGAGGAGGCTGAAATATTCTGGATGGTGAGAGCTACTCTCCAAATTTTTTGAAAACCCATAAATAGCTAGAATTCATTTCTTTGATGATCCTATCATGTCTACTCAAAAGACTGCCCAGAATACCTTTTGCTCCCTGTCACCTAACCATTAGGTCCAAACTATAAAGACAATGCTATTTCCAGACCATCTACCATCTTTTATTCTGCTCTTTCTCTTAGAAAGCCCGATTTTTGCTTTTGTTGACAACATTCTAATGACTCTTCTCCCTCATATATGAGAATACATAGTGTGCAAGTAATGGTCTCTTAAGTTCTCCTTCAGAGAAAAGAACACAAATTATAAACAACTGAGACTGAAGATAGCAACAGTTGCCCAGATATTGAGTTCTTTAAATCTTGATTCAAATGGAATTTTTGTAACCTGTTTTAATTTTTTTCTTTTAGTTTTAATGATAAGAAAAACTAGCTAAGTGTGAAAGGGAAGCACATTTTGCCCTCCCAGGCACCCACATCTTGCCTTTGCTGTATATGCAGGACCAAGTCCCTGGGGCAAGCATGCAGATGGAATACTGAGTCTAGAGACGCCTCTAGAGGCATGCCCTCCTCCCCGCCCCCCTTCCCCTCTGCAGAAGCAAATGTCACATGGGTTTTTGCCAAAATCTCAATGGAAACATTTCTATTTGCTTTGATTTTTACATTTCAAGCTAAACAGCAAAATTCAGGATGTGGACATGTGAAATCACTGAATGAATCTTGCCGTTTCTAGCAGCTTAGGGTTCCACTGGCCACTCAGGAAGCACAGGGCTCATGTCAGGATCTGGACAGCAGGGAGTCTTCTTCTTCCTATACGGGAAACCTGAAGCTGGAGGCACCTCTATGTGAATATCTCTCATCATTATTTGGTCTACAAACTCTTGATACAGATGTACATTCTCTAAATCTTGGATGGAAATGGACCATCATTTATTTTTAAATGCAACTTTTGAAGACCTCTCTATAGTGGAAATTGCGTATTTCTCTGCTTAGAGCAGGCTTCACGTTGAGCAATTCTTCATTACGGTGTAACTGTCCTCCTGTTGAAGGTGACTGCTCATACTATGAGGATGCCTGGCACTGTCACAGAAAGTACACACTAATTTTAGGCAGGAAAACTCTGACATCTTAGAGGAGATGCTAAAAGCCATTTTCTTGCTGCAGAAAGTAAAACTTGATGACAGAGCTTCTTTAAAAACCTTGCAGATTTGAACATAGTCATTTCATCTGAATCACCATAGTTGAAAGATTAAAAATGAATATCCACCCCAGCCCCCACTATTCTATTCTCTGAAATCCCAAACTAAAATAATCATCAAGAGTTTTGAAAACAGTGCTTGCTTTGGCAGCACATATACTAAAAAAAGAGTTTTGAAAACAAACCAAAAAACTTTATTTACAAAAGTAAATTTTAACTCACTTCTATGTATCATATAATGTTAATGCTGACAGCAACAGAGCATCTGGAATATTTAAAACACTTGGATTTTAAAATACATTGAGGTTTGTGCAGCTCATTTCCCCCTAGTTATATTATAAAACTTAGAAATGTTTCTTTAGCTTTGTTGTTGGGTCATGTTTTTGTGCAGAAGTCACGTTTCAGGGTAGGTTTACCACCAGAGCTGATCACATAACCATTGGCTGTGGATTTCCAAGAAGCAAAGGAGCCAATCTTAGCAAAGCTCGCACTGGCATTTTCAGCTGTTTAAATTTGAAGAGGAGTTCAGCAAAGCTTGTGCTCCCTAAAGAAATGGAAATGGGGGGGGAGGGTAGTCATACTTCTAAATAAATTCAGCTGTACACCCCTTTCAAGGAAGCTTCAGACACACAATCACATTTAAAGCTGACATTCTTCCCTTTGAAAACAATTCCCCAAAGATAATATTTAAATTATTAATTTCCCAAATGCACTGTAAAAAGTAATTTGATATAAAAATGTAAATGTATCCATTTTGTACTTCAGACAGTGACCTGTAACCACATCTGAAACTATTAATATTTAATTATATATTACTCAAATATAATTAATAAATGTGCCTATCTGCTTTCAACTACCATAATCTATATACTCCAGTATGTATCTAAAAACAGAACACAGGCTTAAAATGAGTAACACAGAAGTTAATCTAATGCCTCAACCTCTAAGAAGCAAAGGTTCTCAACCATGGTCCCAAAGAGATTCCAACATAATTATGTGGAGTACAGTCTGGACATCTGGAGGTCTGAAGGCTGCTCAGGTGATTCTGATACACAGTCAAGGTGAAGAACCACTGCTCTAAAGAAGTAGAAAGTGTATAACCTGAAAATCCTATTAAGCATCATCTTCCTTTTTGCCTCCATCCCACCACATACAATTGTAAACTACTCCCTCTTTTAACTGTCTTAATGTCCTCATCTGCTAATTCAAACATCTGTGTCAATTCCAGGTCTGTTGTAATTATTTTTCATCTCATTATAGGTCCTATTTTCCTGTTTCTTTGTGAATTTTACCTTGTTGGGTGCTGGATATTTCTGTATTTCTATGTTCTTGGGCTTTGTTCTAGAATTACATTTCTTGAAAAACAGTTTGATCCTTTAGTGCCATGCTTTTAAGATTTGCTAGGTGGGACCAGAATACACTCAGGTCTATTTAGTCTACAGCTAAATATTTCCCATTACTACAGCAAGACCATTCTGAGTAACTATGGCCCCTTAAATTATGAAGTTGTGGGAACAGGCACTATTCCTGAACCTGTATAAGCAATTGGTAATGTGTCCTCTAACCCATGTAGACAGTTGTCCCCCCAATCTCAAATAGTTTCTTCACATGCATGTGCTGACCAGTAAGTGCTCTTCTGATAGTTGAGGGGGACCTTCTGCAGATGTCTGACATTCTCTCTTTGTGTAGCTCTCCCCTCTCTGGCATTTCATCTTGTAAACTCTTAGCTACTCTGGCCTCCCTGTACTCTCAGCAGTATCACCTCAACTCACGGAGTCTCCCAGGCTCCACCTAGGTTCTTGCTTCCTCCCCACAGTCTGGGAACCTCTCAAGGTTATAAGCTGGGGCAATCATAGGGCTTATCACATTGTTCTTCATCTCTCAGGGATCACTGTTCTTCATTACCCAGTATACACTGTGTCAAAAGCCACTGCTTCATAAGCATTGTCCAGTCTTTTTGGTTCCACGCAGGACAGTAAATAAGATCCCTGTTACCCCATCCTGGCTGGAAATGGAAGTCTATGCTTGAAAATTGTTTCCTCTTTTATTTTTAGTAGTTTGACTATTATGTGACTATGTGTGGTTTTCTTCATATTTATCCTGCTTAGGGTTCACTATTAGTTGATGTCCATTCTCCATTTTTCAAAATTCTTAACCTTCGTCTCTTCACACATTGCTTCTACCTCAATTTCTCTCTCCTCTTATTCTGGGATCTCAACTATGTGCATGTTTGACTTTTTCACCATGTTCCACCATTTTCCTTATCTGTATTTTCAATCCATCCTCTCTGTGCTTAATTTGTTTACTTTCTACACACCTGCCTTCTGGTTCATTTACCTGCTGCGTCTGATACGCTACTTAATCCATACACTGAATTCTTAATTTCAATTATATTTTTCAATTCTAGAATTGCCATTTAACTCTTATTGAGTCCAGATTTCTGGTGAAATTCTCTTATCTTTTCATCTATTTTCTTGGAAATATTCTTTTTTTTTTTTTAAAGATTTTATTTATTTATTTCACAGAGACAGACACAGTGAGAGAGGGAACACAAGCAGGAGGAGTGGGAGAGGGAGAAGCAGACTTCCCGCGGAGCAGGGAGCCCGATGTGGGGCTCAATCCCAGGACCCTGGAATTATGACCTGAGCTGAAGGCAGATGCTTAACCACTGAGCCACCCAGGCACGCCAGTTATAGTTATTTTAAATCCAAATCTAGTAACTATAATATCTAAATTACATATAGGTCAGTTTCTGTTACCTTTTTTCTTGTTATGTCTTCTAATTTTTTATTCAACACTAGATACTGTGTATTGAAAAGTATAAAGGTTCAGGATATACTTTGTTCCTCCTAAGAAGGTTATGGTTTCTTCTATAAGACAGGCAGAATGCAAACAGATCTCCTCTGTTCTGCTTGAGGCTAACTTTAGGTCTTGTCCATTTCACTTTTTACCTTTACTCCTAGGCTTGGTCCTGCTGTGGTTTCATCAGAATGGCTGGGATGCTTATCAGAGCCACTTCACACCTTGACAGCCCTGGAACGCTACCCTTTGTCTCCCTGGCCCTATGTTATTGCTGAAATCTTTGCTCACATTTTTAGTCTCCTGGCTTCTGCTAGATTTCTTCTGTTAGATTTCCTGTGCATGTGTAAGATTTGGTATGTGTCTCAAGGAAAGAGTACGTCCAGGTTTTTGAGTTATTATTATTATTCCCTCCTACCAGGGATTTAACTCAAGTTCTAGATTCTCAGGCAATTGTTAACCCAACCTCTGGCTACTCTGCCCAGCAGCACCGCTGCCTTTTGCTGGGACTCTACTTCTTGTGCTATGAACTGACAAATGCCTTTGGGAGAAAGCCAGAGTAAATATGGAGTTTCCTCATTATGCTTCCCTTCTCACGGGGATTGTGGCCCCTCAATCAAGTCTGGCCAGCATGGTTGCTACCAATTCCTTTAAATAACTGTTTTATGTAGTTTGTCAAACTTTTATATTTGTTTTTGTGTGAGAGTCAGTCCAATATAAGCAATTCCATCATGGCTATAACTAGAAGTCTCTAGATAGTGCATTTTTATCTGAGATCAAAACAGCAATAAACTAGTAATGTTATTAAATTTTAAATGATTAAATGGAGCAATCTTTGCTCTTCTTAAAAACAATTTTTGAATCCTCAATAAGCAGAAATTTGAAAGTGATAATAAAGGTGCTCTGAATTAATTATATTTTATGATTCAGGTTACTGGGCAAACTCCATATCTGATTACATATTCTGAAAAATATAGTGAGGTGCTAATATTTTAAACTCTGTATTACAAAAACTTTCAAATTCATATAAAATCAGGTACCTGGTCATTTTAAAGCTTTATAATATTAGAAATTAAGATTATGTGATTAAAAAGAAACATCCAAACTAAAACCCCAAAAAATAAAAATAAAAATAACTTTAATAAAAGTTAAGAAAGAAAAATAACATAACCATTTAATTTATTTATTAGTATATACTGGTGTTTGGGGCTCTCTGAAGAAGAACCCATCCTTTTCTGAATGTAAATAAAAGTTTATGCATGTATAAAGTTCAGATCATCTTTTTAGAAAAAGTTCTTAACAGCCAAACATGAATGAAGACCAAAACCTAACTAGAGAAAATAACTCACCAGAAGTGCCTCCAACCAAGAAACTTAAAAAATAAGTGAGTCAATAATAAAGGTACTGAAGAGGATTTAGATCTGCAATTACCTTCTAGTCCTATAGACGGCAGGTGCCATGGAGCTGGTACTGAGTGGTAGACAAGGAAACAAGCCAGCATGCTCAGCTGAGATTCCTCAAAGGGCTGCCCACTGAGGTAGGCGTGCACACACATATCACCCCCAGCTGTGAGAGAACACAAATGGAACTGAAGCAATTTATTTTCTCATCCAGAACTCATTAAGTACTTACCATACACTGGACAGGTACTATGCTGGGCATTAGGGCTACAGTGGTAAGCCAGACAGAGTGCCTGTCACCACAGAGTATGAAGTGTTGTAAGGGACAGAGACATTACACAAATAACAACACAAACAAATGCATAATTAGAAATTGTGATGAGTGCTATAAAGGGGTAGTGGTCACTGAGGCTGTCTCTCCAAACACCCATTTTACGACCCTTCTTCCCTGCAGTATATAACATTTGATGGGACTGACTTCAGCTCCAGAACTGGATCCTGATTACTATTAGCCAGACTTTCTCAAACTTTAAGGCGCATCAGAATCACCTAAGAGAGCTAATTAAAACAGATGAGTGGGCCCCATCCCCAGAGTTTTTTGGATGGGGTCAGAAAAATTACATCTCTAACAAGTTCTCAGGCGATGCTACTGCTGCCCCAGAGAGCGCACTTTGAGAACCACTGTTCCAGGACAATCAAGGCAATCCCATTCTCAACACAGTGATTGGTTCAGAAACTGGCAGACCTAAGCTATTCAGTAAGAGACATTCTCTGCCACAGGGACTGACTGAGCAATGTGCATGAGTTCCAATTCAAGCCAGAGACATGAGGAGATGTCTCTTTGCTAGAGGCGTCTGAGAAAGAAACTTCCTCACTATTATGGCAACACTCCTAGAAGCAATTCTATTCTTCCTCTGCAAAACGCTGAGCTTGAGGCAAGGAACAGCCATTTTATTACCATGAGAAAAAGCATTCTGAGGATAAAGCCATGGCACAGAGTATAAATAATGGAACCTCAGAGAAATAGAGCTGAAGACACTAAAATAAGATGACCCTTAGACCACCTTACCTATTCCAATAATGTAAGCTTATATGTGTCCTTATTGTTTAAGCCAGGTTGAGTTAGGCCCTCTATTACCTGTAGACAAAGGCATTTTGATACATAAAGAAAAGCTGAGGGAGAGGAAGGGGGAGGGGAAGGGGAAAAGATAGGGAGGGAGGGAGGCAGAAAGAAATAAAATGGCATGGAAGGGGGCGCCTGGGTGGCTCAGTTGGTTGGGCGACTGCCTTCAGCTTGGGTCATGATCCTGGAGTCCCAGGATCGAGTCCCACATCGGGCTCCCTGCTCAGCGGGGAGTCTGCTTCTCCCTCTGACCCTCCTCCCTCTCATGCTCTCTGTCTCTCATTCTCTCTCTCGCAAATAAATAAAAAATTTAAAAAAAAAAATGGCATGGAAGTTGCCTGAAGTAATGTGGTCTTAGAAGGCCTATGAGAAAGGGGCACTTAATTTGAGGCTGTAAGAATGAATATAAGTTGAGTAGACAGAGAATAAAAGAGAAAAGTTCTAGGGAGGGAAAGCAACATATTTAACAGCCCCATAAGAGAAGGGAGAAGAGAAATTATAACTGATACCAAAAAAATACAATCATAAGAGACTACTATGAACAACTACACACCAACAAATGAGACCACCTAGAAGAAATGGATAAAGTCCTAGAAACATACATCTTCTAAGACTGAAACATAAAGAAATAGAAAATCTGAATAGACTGATTACTAGTAAAGAGACTGAACTGGTAATCTAAAACCTCCCAATAAGCAAAGTCCAGGACCAGATGGCTTCACTGGTGAATTCTACCAAACATTCAAAGAAAATTCAACATCTATCTATCTTTCTCAAATTCTTCCCAAAAACTGGAGAAGAGAATGCTTTCAAACTCATTTTACAAGCATTAACCTACCACCAAAACCAGACAAGGACACCACAAAAAAAGAAACTTACAAACAACAAAATATTAGCAAACTGAATTCAACAATACATCAAAAGGGGTCCCCACCGTACCTCTGGCCAAGGTTTCAAAAGACCTCACCAAAATACTATCTCAAATGGAACATGCCATGGAAACCATGATGTTCATGTTCCACAAGTTTGCTGGGGATAAAGGCTATTTACCAAAGGAGAACCTGAGAGTACTCATGGAAAAGCAGTTCCCTGGATATCTGGAAAATCAGAAAGACTCTCTGGCTGTGGACAAAATAATGAAGAACCTGGACCTGGACCAGTGCCGAGATGGGAAAGTGGACTTCCAGAGCTTCTTTTCACTAATTGCTGGGCTCACCATCGCATGTAATGAGTATTTTGTAGTATACATGAAGCAGAAGAGAAAGAAGTAGGAGGCATTGAGCAACATTCCTGCCTGATGAGAATTCTCCCAAAGGGTCTCTTAAGGACTCTTAAGGGTCTCTTAAGGAATCTGCCCCACAGATTCTGCCTGTATAAAGGATTGACTGAACAGATCAGGATCCTCAGAAAATGTACAAGTAAAATCTAACATTTGACAAACAGAGAAAGAAAAGACAGTGAAAGCTAGATAAACTTTTGATTTTTATATTGCTTGCATCCTCTTACCCTCAATAAATAAATTCTTTTTTAGTTCCTCAAAACAGCCACAATAACAACAAAACACAATATTTTAAAAAAGGATCACACACACCACAACCAAGTGGGATTTATTCCAGGAATGCAAAGATGGTTTAACATCTACAAATCAAAGTGATACAGCACAATAACAAAACAAAGGATAATTAAGCAATTATTAATAAACTAAGAGGAAATCATTATTTCCCTATTCCAAATGTAGAATAGTCTCATTTATTTTGATTTTTCTATGTTACTTTAAAACCGTTCATCTTTAAAACATTTTAAACATTACATCTAATGATAATCAATAAACTACTTCAAATAAAAAAAAACAAAGGCTAAAAATAACATGATCATCTTAATAGATACAGAAAAAGCATTTAACAAAATTCAACGTCCATTTATGATAAAAACACTCAACAAAGTGGATATAGAAGAAATGTACCTCAACATAACACAATAAAGGCCACATAGGACAAAGCCATAGTTAATATCATACTCAACTATGAATAGCTAACAGCTTTTCTTCTAAGACAAAGAACAAGACAAGGATGCCCACTCTTGCCACTTTAATTCAACATAGTAGTGCAAGTCCTAGCCAAATAGTTGGTATCAGCATAAATGCACATACATCAATGGAACAGAACAGAGAGCCCAGAAACTAACACACACATGTAAGGTCAATTAATTTAGAACAAAGGAGTTAAGAATATACAATGGGGAAAGGATAGTCTCTTCAATAAATGGGGATGGGAAAATTGGATAGCCACATGAAGAATGAAACTGGACCATCTTACACTATATACAAAAATAACTCAAAATGGATTAACAACCTGTGAGACCTGAAACCATAAAACCCCGAGAAAAAAACAAAGGCAAGTAAAGATCCTTGACATCATTCTTTGGTGTTGAATTTTTGGAATTGACTCCCAAAACAAAGGCAACAAAAGCAAAATTAAACAAGTTGGACTATGTAAAAAGCTTCTGCACAGCAAAGGAAACAATCAACAAAATGAAAAAGCAACCTACTAAATTAAAAAAAAATCTGCAAATCATATATTAAATAAGAGGTTAATACCCAAAATATATAAAAAAACTCAAACTCAACAGAAAAAAAGATCCAAGTAAAAAATGTGCATGGGGGCGCCTGGGTGGCTCAGTCGTTAAGCAACTGCCTTCGGCTCAGGTCATGGTCCCAGGGTCCTGGGATCGAGTCCCACATCGGGCTCTCTGCTCCACGGGAAGCCTGCTTCTCCCTCTCCAACCCCCCCTTGCTTGTGTTCCCTCTCTCACTGTGTCTATCTCTGTCAAATAAATAAATAAAATCTTTAAAAAAAAATGTGCAGGGAGTGCCTGGATAGCTCAGCTGGATAAGCATCCAACCCTTGATTTTGGCTCAGGTCGTGACCTCAGGGTCAGGAGATCGAGCCCCATGTGGGGTTCCACACTCAGCAGGGAGTCTGTTTAAGAGTCTCTCTCTCTCTCCCTCTGCCCCTCCCCCTACTCGCATGCTCTCTCTCTCTAAAATAAATAAATCTTTTTAAAAAATGTGCAGGGAGGGGAACCTGGGTGGCTCAATCAGTTAAGCGTCTGCCTTCAGCTCAGGTCATGATCTCTGGGTCCTGGGATCAAGCCCCATATCGGGCTCCCTGCTCTACAGGGAGTCTGCTTCTCCCTCTGCCTGTTGCTCCCCCTGCTTGCGCTCTCTCTCTCTCTCCTCCTCTCTCTGTCAAATAATTAAATTAAAAAATCTTTAAAAAAAAATGTTCAGGGAATCCAAATAGACATTTTTTTCAAGGAAAGCATAAAGATGTCCAACAGACTCATGAAAGATGTTCATTATCACCAATTATCAGAGAAATGCAAATCAAAACCACAATGAGATATCACCTCACACTTGTTAGAATGGCTATTATCAAAAAGGCAGGAAATAACAAGTATTGGAGAGAATGTGGAGAAAAGGGAACTGTCTTGCACTGTTGTTGGGAATGCAAACTGGTGCACATGCTAGGAAAAACAGTACAGAGGTTCCTCAAAAAATTAAAAATCGATCTACCATATAATCCAGCAATTTCACTGCTGGGTATTTATCCAAAGAAAACAAAAACACTAAATCAAAAAGATATTCAGTTAGTTGCAGCATTATTTACCACAGCCAAAATACGGAACAACTTAAGTGTTCATCAATGGATGAATGGATAAAGATATGGTATATATACACAATGGAATACTGTGCCATATAAACGAATGAAATCTTGCCATCTGCAATAACGTGGATGGGCCTTGAGGGTACTATGCTAAGTGAGATAAGTCAGACAGAGAAAGACAAATACCATATGATTTCGTGTATATATGGAACCTAAAATACAAAACTCATAGATACAAAGAACAGAGTGGTGGTTATCACAGGGGAAGGGGGCTAGAGGTAGATAAAAAGGGTGAAGGGAGTCAAATGTATGGTGATGGATGGTAACTGTAACTAGACTTACTATGGTGATCACTTTGCTGTATATACAAATATCAAATTATGATGATATACACATGAAACTAATATAATGCATTATATTAAAACCAATGCAAACTTGGAATCAATTTTACTTCAATTTAAAAGTGATGGTTCTTCACTAAAAAATAAATGCATATTTTTGGCAATCACAGCAGCAAGTCAAATTTGGTAGAGAGCAATGTTGTAAACTATCAAATGCCCTAAAGAGTAATAAGAAAAAAAGTAATTCAGGGCACTATTATAGAGACTGCTGTAGTCACTGCCAAAGTTTCATTACTGATATGAAATGTACAAATCAGAGACTCTGCAAAGGTTTAAGGACATACTTCTTATCAACAGCAAAGGTCTGCCATAGGCAATCAAATGCTGAACTGAATATAAACAAAATATCAAAACTTATATAATAACTTTTATTTTTCCCAAAAAAATGAGAATAAAATTGAAATTTTAAAAAACATTTTAAAACTACATAATCTTTCAAATTCTAAGAGAAAATGATAGAACAATGTAGGTGTTAATCAAACACTAGAAGTCTGAAATTGCTGTTTTCCATGTATACCTCTCACAATCCAGTTTTTTTTTTCAGAAATTTATTCCCTAATATTACAGTAGATAGTTTTTACCTTAATCATATTCAAATGCAGGTTCTACTGACTACTAACAGCTTTAAAACATCAAGAATTATTACTACTGCTATTCCTAGGGTTAGTATTTACCCCAAACAGGTTGCTTTCAGGTATGTTTGAATGAACTGAAGAAAACAAAAGGAGCAAGAAGTTCACTAAAACTCAATTTCAGACATACATCAAACATCAGACAGGTTTCCAAAAATCAAAAGGCCCATCATTTGCTTCATGTGAGGCACAATTACTTCTACACTATTAGGAGTAACTTCACAATTCCCCTGCAATCACAAGTCTGTACTTCCAAGCCATAGTCACATGATGTCCCAGGTTCCCACTGACTGACTCACAGAGCTGGTAAAACAAACATTCACCCTAAGCACATATCAAGTTTTCAGTGTACACAGGGCAGAGGTACAAAAACTGGGAAGAAAACAGCCGTTGACCTCAGGGGAAGGAAAGGAAAAATAAAATAAGATGAAAATAGAGAGGGAGACAACCATAAGAGATGCTTAACTCTAGGAAACATACTGAGGGTTGCTGGAGGGGAAGTGGGTGAGAGGATGGGGTAATTGGGTGATGGGCATCAAGGAGGGCACTTGATGTTATGAGCACTGGGTGTTATACATAACTGATGAATCACTAAATTCTACCCCTCAGACTAATAATACACTATATGTTAACTAAACTGAATTTAAAGAAAGAATTTAAAGAAATAAAAAAATAAAAAAGCACTGGGCACAATGCTATTATTACCTTGTAGCCACTGGTCCAGAGTATTATCAATAGTGCATTTTACAACAGGGAGGAACTCAGAGTTCATAAAGAGCCCACGCTTAGGGTGGTTCTGCAGTCGCTCCTGGTGGCTCCTGGAGCTGAAAAACTCTAACACCAACTTTATCTGCCAAAGTTCAGATGTCTCAGACATTTCTCTTCTTCCTAGTCTTCTCATAGCCTTGAAGAGACAAAAGGAACAGCAGTCCACTTAGTGAAAGGAAGAGTGAAATTGCTCTAATGGTCTCTTCCTCAGAGTTGTATAATGGAGGATTTTTAAAATATGGCTCATATATCAATAAAGAGCAGAGGGGAATCCATTCCATGTTTTGATGTAGTCAGCCCCACAGAGGAACCCTCCACTAGGTGCAGATACATGTCCACTCTCTTCAATATGGTCCCCACATAAACAGCTTTTGGATAAAAGCAACAAATGCAAATGAGCTCATTCTTGGCTCAATGACTCTGAAAAATGAAGACCCACTAGGTCTACTGCCAGTCACCTCTGAGAAACCCAAGTGGAGTACAATGACATGGCCAGGGATCCCAGGGGTCAGAAGGCAAAACAATATTACTGATAATACTGCTCTTGGGACCCATCTGCAAAGTCACCATGGCTGCAACCAGCAGGGATGTCCTTTTGTAGACACCTGCTCATGACAGTGAAGGGATAAAGGTTCAGAGCATAAAAAGGGAACACTTTGAGCCAACAAAAGAAAAACAACTCATTACTTGGCTGCTATCTGGAGAGGCCCTGTGAGAAGCAATGTCAGTGTGGATATCACATAATCATACTTTCCAATTAAAACATGTGGATGGATATCAGACAATAATGCCATTCTGGGCCTAT